AGATATACCTAGCAAAAGTTTTTGAACGTGGTGTATTTGAATATTAAAAAAAAAAATCTTTCTTTCGTCTCTTCGTATTATAATATGAAAAGTAAGACGCGAGCTGTTAATTGGATAACCAATACTACCTTCGTCGTGATTGATACTTATACAGTCGACTCTCGATAACTTGACACTCGGTAATTTGAATCTCTCGATAATTTGAAATTTTTTCCCGGTCCCTTGAAAATCAATATTAATAGGCCCCCTCGGTAATTTGAAGTTGAAGGAATAGTATCTTGCCCGCCAACTACGCTATAATTTGAAGTCTGGGCTTCCCTACTCTCGATAATTTCAAGCGTTTGTCATGCACAGACCTGTCGTTTGTTTACATAAGTACATGTACAGACCTGTCGGTTGTTTACATAAATGAGACAGACTTCTTTTCAAAATGAACATTTGTGAATAATTGTACAAATGTTTAAAATAATAAATAATGAATTCTGATCAAACTCATTCTCTTTACTTGATTGATACTTGAAAAGAAAACGACAGCAGCACATGAATGCTTTTATAGCTGCTTTCGTTGCTTAATGTTTTGTCGATTAATACAACATTTTAAAATATATCGAAATTGATACAAATTTGATACTCCTAAATAAATGTCAAAATATCGATGATATTTTGACATTTATTTAGGAGTAGTATCGATATATGTTATGAGAAAATATCGATGTTTCGATATTTTTCACCCATGCCTATCGTCGTTGCTAAAAGTATCCATTATGCTTTGGCCCTAACAAGGCAAAGATCAATTGATAAGTCCTGGTTGTTTCTTTGAGAGTTTCGCCATCATTGTTTGAATTTCTACACAATAGATATCGGCTGTTACTGATACACCGGTCTCAAAAAAATTGTGAATTAAATCATGGAGTCACCAAACAGTTAGCATTACTTTTCTAAGGGTGATCTTCGTTTTAGGGCATTGTTTCAGTGTTTGAACTGGGTCCAGAAATTGCGTTTTTCAATTGCGATTACCATAGACAATCCACGTTATATCACAAGACACCTTTCTGAACCTACTTATCAAAGCAAGGCGAGCTTCAACGTGTGATTCTCTATGCACATAATTTCTGAATATTTGTATTTTACATATTTGGTGCAAATGAAGTCAATATTGCGAAGTGTAGGGCATCCTCCATTAGATAGAGTGACGACCTGGTAAGACATGCAGGAAGTCGATGGATGCAGGTGGCTCAGGAGTCAGGACCGTGCTTTGTGGCATTACTTGGGGAAGGCCTATGTTCAGCAGTGTACTTTTGAAGGGTTGTAATGATGAGTCAATATTGTGGGTAAACTAACGTCAAACCATGACGCTTATTTCTTGGTTGTTTGATAGGGATCGGCTTCCACTATTATTTTTAATACATCTTTATTTACCTTAATCTGTGATCTTCCTCGTGGTTCATTGTTCAAATCAAAGTTTATATTACGACTACAATCAAATATATAATGCACATTGCGTTCTTTATTCGTATCCTCTCTAAACTTTGGATTGAGAGCTGTCTCTGCTCCGAGGTTCTAACCTCTTATGAACTCGTATCCGTAAAATTACACTAATTTTTGTGATCTCCATGCTTAAATCAAATACTGAATGAAAAACTATTGAAAATACACAATGGAACGTCATAAATATCAAATGAATTTAGAATGATAAAGTTTTTGTGTAAAAAGTAAATGTTGACCACTCTATGAAAGCGAAAACTTCATACTTTAACACTTATGCACAGGCAAAGCTAAGAATTTTGTACCGTAGCTATCCTACACTACTAAAAGAGAGTTAGTCGTTGATAGTAGATGAAAGAGATGTAGATGTAGATATAGCTTAGGGTTAGTACTATTATTTATTCAGTGCACAGGACGCGGGTAATCCGGATACGATCCCAGCGGGCACCAATGAAATTATCAGTTGCAATTTTAAGTGCTGATTTATCACGTGCTCCATGGTGGAGTAAAGCATCGTGAGAAGACCTGCTTGTCTGATAAATTAAAAAAAATATTTCCGAGGTATGTGAAGAGAACAAGTGGGAAAATTAAGAACTTTGTACAACCGACTTCAATATAAATAAAATGAGAAAGAACATCATTAATGTAGTCGAAGTAAATTAAATGCGCATTATTAAGGATAACTCAAAAACTACCGGTCAGGTCTTGATCAAAATTTAGAACCACATGAAAAGCACCAGTTTTCAAATAAAAAAAGAATCATCAAAATCCGTTCACCTAGAAAAAAGTTCTGAGGTAACACACTTAAAAAATATAGTTGAATTGAGCACGTCCTCCTTTTTGGAAGTCGGTTGAAAACTAACAGCCTCGTTTTCAAGTAACTGCAATATTATTACAAGTAATGGAAAAGTGTAGCATGCCACCCTGAATAATGTTGGCCAATTAAGAGATGCACCTCGACGAGGCGGATGTTGAATCGCTGTTGTACCAACCAATCATTAAACGGCCGTATGCTACTGTCGCTTTGGTTTTGCTGTTCTTTTTATTTTCTGCGTAATTTGTAGAATCATGTGGACAATTTTTATTGCGTAGTAAAATTCTACACGTGTATAAATATGCAATGTGTTTTTAACTTATATTGCGCGCAACCTTCTTCGCCGAGTTGCAATCGATTTGTCAGCTGTTAATTTTTCCACATCTGCACGGAAATATTTGTTATTTTTATGCGCAGGTGAAAAAATATTATAACTTGTCCATCACAAAAAATAATATACCATAATTAAAGGCATTTTTTTTATTGGATCGGGTGACAAACGAGCACACTGATGGTAAGTGGTTGCTGTGGCCTATGGGCCACATCTACATTAATCCTCGTTTGCGAATCAAAATGCAGATGCGTTGTCACCCGTGAGGACGAAGATGGAATGCCTCTTTTCCAGTAAAATGGGTATCCGGTTCTCTACATTCACCATACGAAACACAGCAGTGTCAAGCTGCTATTTGACGCTGGTATTCTGTGAGAGCGTGGTCCTTCCCCGGTCGAGCCGACCCATTCGTGCTACAACTATACTACTAATATAGCTGCAGCATGGCTTTAACACGCATAAAATAATTATTCACGAAAACCTTCCTATTTATTTCAATATCAAACATTATCTGTATTAGATCTGATTTTTTGTTAATATAATTTAATTGTTTGTACGTGGTAGAGCCACGCTGCAGCTATATTATGGTCATAGAACGATGGGTTATCGACCGGGAAAGGTCCACACCTTCACAGAATACCAGAGTAAAATAACAGCTCAATGCTGTTGCGTTTCGTATTGTGAGTGTAGACAACCGCATACCTTTTTTACTGGACCTCTAGGATTCCATCTTAGTTCTCAGGGGCGGCAACGCATCTGCATTTTTATTATAGACATCTACATCTATCCTCGATTAAGAATAAAAATCACACATCACTGCATCCACTTACAAACAGGTGAACTGTGTGCTCGTTGGTCTCCCTTATTCTATAAAAAAAACTTACTAGGTGGTAGACCTCTTTATGTCTAGGAGTCTGGAGCCCCCCCAGAGGTGGGGGGCTACCTCTTCTTCCTATTTCTACCGCTGAATTGCACAGTGCTTGCACTCCTGTGTTCCGATCTGCAGAGAATACAGTACGGTATTCCATCGTGGTCTTTAGAGGAGACAAAGCAACTGTAGTCTTCTTCTATGTTTGAAGTCGATTGCAGATGTCTATGAGGTGCAGTAGTCCAGGCGGACTGTAAGCTTCAGTTTTTAATTAAAAAAAAAACACCTGCTGTCGTACTACTCTACGTATACGTATATAAAATACGGATCGTCTAAACTTTGTTCTTACATGTGTAATATCACACGCCACCAATATGTATTACTCGGAGGACTTATCGATACCACGCTGGGATTGGTGAGTGCACAGATAATGTCACTTTGATAATGTTACTACCATCACCAGTTAGTGTCACTAGTCACCAGGTTCAGTGTTTATGTGTTTTTTTTGCTGGTAGAGAAACCAAGAAAGCTTAAGGCCAGGTCAGACAAAATATCGTATTTAAGACACAATTTCTTTGACTAGAACTGATACTTCTTGAAATAATATGGGCATGCATGCAATACTCGATTAATCGATATAAAATAAATTATAATTTAATCGCCGGCAAAATGCTTTGAAGCTGGAGTTTTCGTTTTTTTTGTTTAAGCGATAAACATATAATATTTTTCGATAATGGGAAAGGCATGTTATTGAATTAGATTCGTTATCGGCTGCATTTTTATTTACATTCTTTACTTCCGTAAAAATTGTTTCAATAGTAACTTTTTGTCCACCGAATATCGCACGCTTACTTCTTTACTGGACAAATATGCATGCAGCGGAGAATTGAGCGCTAAAAGCCTTTTAACACTCCCTCTTTAGGGTTCCGTACGCAAAGGGTAACCAACGGGACCCTATTACTATGCCTCCGCTGTCCGTTCGTCCGTCCGTCTTTTTTTTTATAGGATAGGGTGACAAACGAGCACACAGTCCACCTGATGGTAAGTGGTTACTATGATCCATAGACATCTACATCTATACTCAATAAAGACTCAAGATGCAGATGCGTTGTCACCCGTGAGGACTAAGATGGAATGCCTCGTTGCCAGTAAAAAGGGTCTCCGGTTCGCTACACTCACCATACGAAACACAGCAGCGTTAAGCTGCTATTTTACGCTGGTATTCTGTGAGAGCGTGGTCCTTCCCCGGTCGAGCCAACCCATTCGTGCTACAACTATACTACTAATATAGCTGCAGCATGACTCTACCACGTATAACGTGGTAACACTAAATAATAAAAATAAATTAAAAATTAAAGGATACTCCCCTACTAGAAACGTGTTTTACAATGGTACGGCACCCTTCATGCGCTAGTTCGACTCGCACTTGGCCTGCTTTTATTCCCTAATTTGCTGACGCTAAAAATCTGTATATTTAATGGAATTGCTTTCTTTTGTTTCAGAACCCGTTATCAGTAGACCTAGTAATAAATATGCCGCAGGACGGCATCCGGTTAATATTTGACCCGGTCGCGCAACGCCTCAAGATTATAGAAATTTACAATATGAAATTAGTTAAGCTTAGGTATAGGTGAGTATTTTATTGTTTTTATGTATATTTAAAATAATAATCATCTTTGAATATTATCACTGATAAAATTTCTACCGCAGCGCGATCGTTTTCGTAATATTGATCAAACAAAGTCTAGACGGACGGTCACACAAGTTTGGAACAGAAAAGGCGCACTGGCACTGTGTATATTTACACGGAGAGTTTCGAGCCACATCGATACCTCCCACCCATTACTCAAAGGTTTTTATACCTAAACATTTGTAATTTTTCATGTCTGGTATACCTAGAATCCCAAATTTCACTAGTAAAGTAGTTTTTGAGTTACTATAACTCAAGAACTTAGTGCCATTATTATCATTCACTGATTCACTAATGAAGCTGAATGACAGAGTGAGAAATTGTTTAATAAGAGAAGAGTGTGGTGTGCAAGATGATGTTGTGACCAGGATTAAAAAAGGAATGCTTCGGTGGTTTGGCCATGTAGAAAGAATGAATGAGGAAAGAGTGACAAAGCAAATCAATGTTGCAGAGGTGAACGGCATAGTCGGGAAGGGTCGCCCTAGGCGAAAGTTTATCGACCAAATTGGCGATATATTAAAAATGGGCCATATCAAGAGTACCTTTAACCGACGAACGTGTATGCGTAGGTATATGGATGTGGAGGAAGCGAGAGAGGTGTGTCAGGATCGTGCCAAATGGAAGTCCATAATATCTGCCTACCCCTCTGAGTGACGGGCGTGAGTGTTTATGTATGTAATATTATGTATGATTCACTAACTTTATAAAAACCTAGACCACTTCTTGGTGCTTTGGAAGCTTGAAGTTTGGCATCAAGGTAGATTGTTATACTTACATATCATATACAAAGGAAAAATCTGAAAATTTCAAATTGTCTATATTCGATATCGAAAAAGTTACTGTATGTTACTGTGTATTACTGTATATTAAATTAACTTAATTTCTTGCCAGTGATGACTTATGGATCTGAGACGTGATCCTTCACTGCTGGCCGTATGAGGACGCTCAAGGTCGCTCAGCGAGCTATGGAGAGGGCTATGCTCGGGGCTTCTCTGCGTGATAAACTAAGAAATGAGGATATCCGCAGTAGAACTAGAGTGACTGACGTAGCCCAACGCATTGGTAAGCTGAAGTGGCAATGGGCCGGCCATACAGCTCGAAGAACCGACAATCGATGGGGAAAAAAGGTTCTCGAGTGGCAGCCTCGTACTGGTAGGCGAAGTGTAGGGCGTCCCCCCACTAGATGGAGTGACGACCTGGTAAGACATGCAGGAAGTCGATGGATGCAGGTGGCTCACGACCGTGCTTTGTGGCATTCCTTGGGTGAGGCTTATGTTCAGCAGTGGACTTGTGAAGGGCTGTAAGGATAAGGATGATGAAACTAAGCGCACCAAAAATGTAGAAATTTAATTCATATGGTTGAAAATAAGAAAACCGTGAGGCGTTAACGCTAGAAAAAGCCTTAGAAGTCGCAAAAGGATATAACTTTTTTCAAAAATTAATGATATTCCTCCAAAAATATTACGAAAAGGGAGTACCAGGGGCATTAGTATCATAGCAGTTCCTTAAATTACAGCTGTTGGGAATGCATCTACAACGTTCTTAGAACTGCTGTGGAGCTTGGTACTCGTTCAGATTCCAACACTTATCGGAGAAGCCGACATCGCCCTACCGTCCATTGTACCGAATTTGGCCCCCTTTTCAAATTTTTATGCTTTCGGTGGGGGATAATTATTACGACGATCTGACAGCGCTTATGGTAACAACCATCTTGTCGGTGTCGTTTAAAGCGGCGCAGAGTTTTTAATGTATAATTTAAATGTAATGTGAAACTGCTCTAAAAGCCACGTGTATATGAAGTATACTTTGTCATACCATGTCTTTTGTTGGGAAGAATTTAGCAACGCAACACATCTATTTTGACCTAATGACATTTTATATTGATCGAGTAAATAAAGTTCCCGCGCACGCCAATCTCTCAGGGACGATGCATTTACTCGTTAACATGCAGGTGTGGTACTTAGATAGTGTGTATATACTATGTTAGTACTAAATACACTTTATAAAGACGACTTTTATAGTGTTCATCCACCCAATACCATTCCTTTATAGCGTATAAAAGTTCACTGCTGAACAACTGCAACCGCAGTTTTTGGTATGGGCAAGTGAAAAAAATATATTAGTATTGTATATGTATCGTAATTTTAAAACAGTATCAATAATTATCGCGTGATAAATATCGATATATCGTAGATAATGTTTTACATGATGTAGTAGGATAAGAGCCAAAATTTTATTAGACGACGTTTTGACGACGAAAAAAATAAACAAAACCGCATCTAAATGCTTTTGTGGTTGCTTGTTTTTATTGCATACTGTTGTGTCCATTCAATTATGAAATAAATATAATATTTTAAAATATACCGAAATTGATACAAATTCGATACCCTAAAATAAATATCAAATATCGATATATAGGCATTAAAATATCGACAATAAATATCGATAATTTTGTGAAATAACTTCGATATCTATAGTCGAACAAGACTAACCTACGCAAGCCAATTAATTACCAGGCGTACGCAGTTTTTTATTATTTGAGTTGTTACCACGTAGGTGCTGCTGTCCATCGCATGTTTCAGTTTCCCTCTGTCGGCTCTTACGACACCCACGAGATGATCTGGAGTAGTTGGCTATTCTTACGCCGTCACTAGAACTAGAACTTAGTTAAAACTTACTAAATACAATATCAAGACGATTTTTATCTACTGTATTGTTATTTATAAAGCACTATTTTAATTAAGTAGCCATGTAGTGGCGCCGTCATAGAATCCAGATTCCCCATATCGTTTCGTAGGCGTTGTAAGAAGCGACAGAGGCAAACTGAAACAGGAGAAGGGTACTCGCATCTTTGACATATGACAATATGACAGCTCAAAGGAAAAAAAAACCTACGCATGCCAAGTGTGGCCTCTATAGCTAATAAGCCATCAAGCAGAAGACAATCTATTGGAGAGACCCTTAGTTCAGTATTGGACTTTTAATAGGCTGGCATTGATATTGTGATAAGCGGTAACGATGATGTAGATGATGATGACCATGAGTTTTTTTTTATTTGATAACTAATGGCGTGTAATTATTTTCAAAATCTGATATTATAACTTTTGTCAGCCTTCAAATTTTCACCCGACTGCGCCGTATTTCCATTGCTATGTCTGCAGTTAATTCCGAAACTAGTCTATATCTCAATCGATTTCCTCATTCTTGCGCGGATAACATATCATAACTAAGGCATGTAATGTTGAAAATAAGTCGTTTGCCGTGTTTAAACATATTTTTACTATTGCAATTTCTGTTTACAGTGGCATGTGCTTCAACTCGCCGGAAATAACGCCGTCAATCGAACAAGTGGAGCACTGCTTCGGTGCGACGCATCCCGGCCTCTACGACTCACAGCGTCATCTGTTCGCGTTGAACTTTCGAGGCCTGTCCTTTTATTTTCCGGTCGATAGCAAATTTGAGGTGAATAATATTGACATGTCATCTTAATTAGGTAAAAAGTTGTTTATTATTTGTCGCCAAAACCCAAATAGCCTCTTGTAATAATATATCATTATCATCATCATTATTAAAGTCCTTCACAAGTCCAATGCTGAACATAGGCCTCCCGCAAGGAATGCCACAAAGCACGGTCCAAAAAAAATTATAATATTGTCCACCAGACCGAAATTCGGTCACGGCGGCCAGTCTCAACGGAGTCTAGCTGTCTGCACAGAATAGGATTATAGTACCCGAGTACATGCGCAAACGCAGGTGCATTCTCCATTCCTTGATTATAATAGTCCAATGGTTGTCCCATTCCAAATCCGACACGACCGGAGAGAAATCAGGCGTAGGACCAACGGCTTGCTGTCATGTTATATTGAAATGATTTCTATTGTAACTTCGACCGAGAGCTCAACGACGGCTCCAACTCGGCTGGGCATCGTTCGGCAAATTACGACACATCCTCTCGTCACGTATACTTTGTCATGTTCCTTGGGTGAGGCCTATGTTTAGCAGTGGACTTCTGATGGGCTGTAATGATGATGATGATGATGATGTGGGCTGTCTGATAATTTCCCTCCGATAGTCTCTCACTCGGTACTCGGCTACATTTCCTCGCTAAATAGCTGTACTGAGTGTTTGGACGAGGATAAAACGAGGTCTTTTGTTACCAGCTACAACGACCAGTCGCGGATATAATTCGCCTCGCCTCGACCTCTATTTTCTACGCCAAATAGTATAAATAATATAATGCCATCACTCCAGATACTCATTTGTTTGCGCTGTTTACTCACTTCCTTCCTCTTTGCTGCTTGTGATGGGCTGTTATGCTGACGATGAAGAAGTTTTTAATAGTTAGTAAAAAGATAAAGTTAGTAAAGTTACAAAAGTTAATTTTACAGTTATACCAGTCTCTATGCTAGGCACGGATAGTAGGCCTGTACTATCATTTCTGAAATGATTATGGAACTGAATTAAATTTTATAAAAGATAAAAAAGAATCACGAACGCCTCACGATGAACACACACAAGGAGGCGCTTTTTCAATTGGGCTAAGTTATTATGATATATCTGTAGCATGTAATATGCAGCTGATTTTTTCATTTATCGATAAAGTATAGTTGTAAAGTAGCTCAACTTGAACCATGATAATGATAAATGAAGTTGGTTTATATTTTTATCCCACTGTCCTAGAAAGAGGACAATGCTTCTCAAGTTATGCGTGTACAATGATTATTTCTTGTGCACGCTCCGCCTGAATGGCTTGACGGATTAAACATGTAGGGTGTCGTTATATGCGCCTTAGTTATGGAAGGGATAGGGCTCAATATTTGAATTTTCTCTTTTCAGTAAACTTTCACAAACCGATTTTTTATTTACCGGTTTAACTCGTGGACTTGTTAAATATATACAAATAAATAAAATTGAAGTGTCTGTTTAAACACTTGTTTGTCTGTATGAAAGTATATACGGTACTTATAACAAAAAGAGAATTTTTTTAAAATTTTATCTGGCTGTACGTCTGTCTATCTGTCTGTTGTGTTGTTGTTCCGGCTAATCTCAAAAATGGTTGGACCGATTTTGACGGGATTTTAACTGGCAGGTAGCTTATGTTATAAAGAGTAACGTTTAAAAAAGTAATTATGGGTCCGCGCCAAAAAAATCGTAATAAATTCCACTAGGACGGGAGTCGCGGGGAACCGTAGTCATTAATATAAAGTCTGATTTATTTAAAATTTTCAGCCTGGCTACGCGCATGGTTTGGGCTCACTACAGTTCCCTAACGGCGGTTCGCCCGTCGTGTCTAGAACCACAATCTACTATGGATCACAACATCAGGTATGAAAACTGTAAGGAATAATATTGTTTTATATAAGAACTGGAGTGACATACGAACTAGAGTTCACTTGATGATAAGTAACTACTGCAGTATAGAATAGAATAGAATAATTTTTATTCAATATAGATTATTACGTAATATTTATTAAAAGTATTTTTTTTAATTGCCACTCGTTCGGAGAAAATACCTCTGTCCTTGGAAGAACCAGCAAGAAACCCAACGGGACTTTTGTTTTTAAACATAATTTCACTTTATAATAATTTTGTTTGTACAATTTTTAAAATGAATTTTAATAGAAACAGCATGGTGCATATCACCTCATTCCCAGGGGTTATTTTCACTTATGTATTCTTTGATATTATAATAACCCTTTTCAATCCAAGAGCGCATGTAGTCAACCTCAAATAAAGAAAGGCAACAGATGTGTTGTGTCTTCTGAGGACCGAGATGGAATGCCTCACAGTCAAAGTAAAACAACCCTAGTAAAATAAATGAAAAGCATATTGTAGCTAGCAGCGTAGCTAGCAATGAAATCAGTGAATCATGCTCTAAATGTGAATCATCATAATTAGCACGACGAATGTTACTTAAACTCACTGTTAAACAACAATAATTATATCACAGAAACACCAAATTGTAACCACAAACACTACGCCATTAGGAATTATTACGTGGTAGAGCCATGCTGTAGCTATATTGTGGTTGTAGCACGAATGTGTCGGCTCGACCGGGGTGGGTGGGGGGACCACGCTCTCACAGAATACCAGCGTAAAATAGCAGCTCAATGCTGCTGTGTTCCGTATGTAGTGTGTAGAGAACCGACCCTTTTTACTGGAAACCAGGCATTCCATCTCAGTCCTCAGGGGTGGCGGCGTATCTGCATTTTGATTCTTAATTGAGGATAAATGTGGATGTGTATGGGCCACAGCAACCACTTACCATCAGGTGGACTGTGTGCTCGTTTGTCTCCTTATTCTATAAAAAAAAATTGTAAACCGATAGGAATTCCTATTGGAAAAAATAAAAGAAATCCTTCACTGTCTGTAATTATACTGACTTTCTACTCTTCAGTATATAGTTCGACGGCTCCGTGGCGCAGTGACTTAGCAATGAGTTGCTGCGCTGGGGGCCGCGGGTTCGAATTCCGCGCGGAACAAGTATTTGTATGGCCTACAAATAATTGTTACGGCTCTGGATGTATGTCTTCGTGCAATCTATGTTTGTAAACTGCCTCCACGACACAGGAGAAAATCCTAGTGTGGGGGTAACGTTTTTAAAAAAAACAAAAACAATTAAAAAGAAAGAAAAGCATAGAGGACCACTGTGAGCCAATTAGCAGTGCAAATTATTATCACTACACTTAATTTATTTTCAAAATATATCTAACCGGTTTAATATATGCTTTTATTTAGTTAGGTATAGACTATATCTGACTCATCATCATGATCATTACAGCCTATCTCAAGTCCACTGCACGACTAGCATGGGCTGGGGACAGAAATTTTATCCCCCGATTATATCCACTGACAAGAGATAAAATTATCTTGTCCCTATGCCAAAGCACGGCAAGGGGGAGAAGAATATCCCCGTTTGACATAACGAGTAAATATATCCCCCATCCGTAACATGGAACCAAATGAAAGATAAATTATGCTTTTTTGACATTTGAAAGGGACAATTCTACCCTAGTTCAATGGACGTGGGTTTAAGTTTATATTCGTACATAAAATCTATCTAAGTCTATCTCCCATTTTATCTACTGTGGATATTATATCCACCAGTGTGCCCATTCTCGATGGGTGGATAAAACTAAGCGAGGGTATAAACACTTTCTCCTTTCCCCGGGGATAAAATTGTCTCCTGCCCCTGCTAGCCCTGCAGATATACATAAGCCTCCCAAGGGACGTTTTCCTGCATCTATTGCCAGGTTGTTTCTCTATCAATAAAGGGCCGCCTTACACTTTACACTACCAGTAAAGTATAAGGCCACTCAAGAACTTTTTTCGGTCTCAACGTTACCTAAGGCCCGGTTTACATTTTGAAAAGTGACAAGTGGGAGTGGCAAGTGCAACTGACAAATGACAAGTGCTTAGTGCGCATGAACAGGCAGTGACAAGTGCGAGTGACAAGTGATAAGTGTGAAACTGATCTATTCTTTGACAAGTAGCTCTACACCGCGTTAACCTCGCTTTACCATCACCCGTCCACCATCCCTGCTCTAGCCGATACGGCATGACATACACGTGTTGGTGTATAATTTTGGTTTGCGTTTTAATACGTTCTAGATCTACTTCTTTTTCTATATGATCCAAAACAATATTTATAACTACTTTGATTACTTCACGAACTTTTATAGGCGCAGTTGCTTATCTATTTTGAGTACTAGAAATAGGTTAAAAATACCCTACAATGCGATTCGGAATTCCACATAACAATGACCTTACTGCATATCCACTTGCCATATGCGTGAACACCTACTTGCTAGTTGTCAGTTGACAGTGTTTACTAGTCAATCTCACTCGCACTTGCCACTTTTCAAAATGTCAAACCAGGCTTAGGTAAGACTTATCGTGAATTCTAATCACTACGCCAGTGCATTTACATAAACAAAGAAATTCTGTTTTTCTTTTTTTTTTTAAATAAATGCTTCTTTTTACTTCAACCAGTACTTTATAATTTGAAACCGGTTTAGTCTTTATCGATTATTAAAATTATATCATATATTATGTACCAAATCACCTGTGAACAGATGAGCAATAGCAGCGGCAGTAGTGGTCGCTGTACCGCTCCGTTACCAGAACTACCGCTGTCCTGCTACCGGCAACAGTTACATTTACGTCGCTGCGACGTGTTACGATCACCCTCCTCTACCCTTGGCTTAAGGCTTCACATGTACACGGAAGGTGAGTTGGACTAATTACGAACGTAACAGTGTATTATTAACGAGTTATTAGGGCTATATCAGTTGAAGTTGGTAAATTGTCAGAAGTGAATTAGTGCGTGCTTTATATACAATATTCAGCATATTATTCTTTTTTATAGCAACTGAAACAAATAGATTGTTGGTAAAAACTAAATATCCAATATTTCGTTTTAACATGTGGTTAAATTAAAATTTTTGTACAACCGACTTCATTATAAATAAAATGAGAACATCAGCAATGTAGTCGAAGTCAATTAAATATTCATTATTAAGGATAACTCAAAAACGACGAGAAACACGAGAAGTACCAGCTTTCAAATAATAAAAAATAGAATCATCAAAATCGGTTCACCTAGAAAAAAGTTCCGAGGTAACAGACAATAGTAGCAGTATTTCATCATCATCATCGTCATTACAGCCCTTCATAAGTCCACTGCTGAACATAGGCCTCCCCCAAGGAATGCCATAAAGCACGGTCCTGAGCCACCTGCATTCGCTGACTTCCTGCATTTCTTACCAGGTCGTCACTCCATCTAGTCGGGGAGTCGTCCTACACTTCGCCTACCGGTACGAGGCTGAACCTTTCTTCCTCATCGGTTGCCGGTTCTTTGAGCTATATGGCCGGCCCATTGCCACTTGCAGTATTTAATTAATTATTATTTCTATAACTTAGTTTTTAGTTTTACGTGTGTAATATTTAAGTTGATAATTAAATACCCAGTGAAAAACAAACTAAACTTTTGCTCATGTCTCTAAGTTTGTAAATCGGATTTTTTTTTTAAATAAAAACCAAAGCTTAGAAAAAAATTTATAGTTATTTTACTTATGTGGGTCGTTCGATTGTTTGTTAACTCACTCGTTTTTAAAACGGAATTGTGCTTACTGTTGCGTACCATTATGGTAAAACTGCTTAGAAACAGGAGAATTCTATGTTAATATTTAAGCAATATTTTTACTTTAGCTTAGCAAAAATTCAAGTTAAATAAAGTCCTACCAAAACATAAATATAAAAAGGGCGCCAAGTTTGGTACCTGACCGTTGCATGACCGTGCCGCTTACCAATATACACTACCCCGTAATCGTTCTTTGGGTGTCGTAAGAGGCGATAGAGGAAAACAAACCAGAACAGATAGCACCGTCTTACTAATAACAACTACAAAGAAAGAAACTGTGGTTGCCTACCCATTTGCCAAGCGCGGCAACTCTAACAAATATCCCTATGGGGAAGACAGTGGACATATGCGGTATATTTATTTATTTATTTATAGGACACCAGCAGTGCATTACAGTATATTTTATTGAAAGTGGGCTTAATCTAGGGACTGATGTGTGCACCCTTATAGGTGACACAGCATTACAAAATACTATAAAAATAAAGACAGGGCAGTGCTAAAGAAATATGTCACAAAAAATTATATATATATATATATATATATATATATATATATATATATATATAAAGAAAGTAAAACTATGTGAAATAAGAATAGAAGGGGAGTTGATTGAGCAAGTGGATGAGTTTGTATATTTGGGATGTTTATTTAGCAGGGATGGTAGATATGATAAGGATATAGAACGACGAGTGAACGCAGGAAATAGAGTGAATGGGGCTCTACACGCTATTATGAGGAGTCAAAATGTGTCAACTAAGGCACGTAAGGCAATTCATAATGCTGTGTTAGTCCCTACTTTAATGTATGGTAGTGAAAGTTGGGTCTGGCAGAAGAAGCATGAGAGTAGAATAAATGCTGTAGAAATGCGTTCCTTAAGGAGTATGCTAGGGCTGAATCTGAATGACAGGGTGAAAAATAGTGTGATAAGAGAAAAGTGTGGTTTGCAAGATGACGTTGTGACAAGGATTAAGAAAGGAATGCTTCGGTGGTTTGGTCATGTAGAAAGAATGAACGAGGAAAGAGTGACAAAGCAAATTTATGTTGCAGAGGTGAACGGCATAGTCGCGAAGGGTCGCCCTAGGCGAAAGTTTATCGAACAAATTGGCGATATATTAAAAATGGGCCATATCAAGAGTACCTTTAACCGACGAGCGTGTATGCGTAGGTATATGGATGTGGAGGAAGCGAGAGAGGTGTGTCAGGATCGTGCCAAATGGAAGTCCATAATCTCTGCCTACCCCTCTGGGTGACAGGCGTGAATGTTTATGTTAGAGTGACTAAGCAAATTTATGTTACAGAAGTGAACGGCAGGGTCGGGAAGGGACGCCCTAGACGAAGGTTTATCGACCAAATCGGCGATACATTAAAAATGGGCCAGATTAGGAGTACCCTTAACCGACGAGCGTGTATGCGTAGATATATGGATGTAAAAGAAGAGAGAGAGGTCTGTCAGGATCGCGCCAAATGGAAGTCCGTAGTCTCTGCCTACCCCTCTGGGTGACAGGCGTGAGTGTTTATGTATGTATGTATAAATAATGTATAACTAAAACAATAAAAACATGCACATAACTAAGCAGCAGCTGTAGGGAACATGGATATTAGATTATAATTAAATCATTCACAAATTATTTATATTAGTGATCTATAACGTTTTCCCTATATTTAGGGAAAAATATCAACAGTAGGCAACACACCACTATATATGAGATGGTCATACCTCCATTAGGCCTTCTGTCATTTTCCGGCGGGCTACTAGATTCTCTGAGTGATTGAGAGCATCTAGGAATTTTTTGCCACTAGGGCGGCGCCACTTACTGTGAATGTGGTGAAATGTTTGAAAGATTTTATAGCGGGAAAGGTTAATTTATTAGAATGGTATAGAAATTAATATTTCTCTCAGAAATGTTAGCAATATTTTATATTAATTTGATTAAAATGGATGAACTAAACTACGGTTATTCCTAAAGTAGAAGATTTAAAGAAAAAGTTAATAATGTGTAAAAAAATTAAAGAATACAGCATTAGACATTGTTCTGTGTATATATAAGTACACTAGAAATCGAACTTATAATTAAATCGCAATTTTCACCTATGCCACTGTGTGTTGAGGTCATACCGGAACCGGATTGCATAGGCCTCCATCACGTCGGCGAGAAATACCGTAGCATACTGGCCGCATATTAAGTTTGTAGATTTTATATTCATAATATCCTACTATCAGTGGCATGTAATATAATTATTACTAAACGTAAGAACAATGTGTGATACCCACCGTCGATCTCCGTAATAAATGAGTTCACGTTAGTCACAACTAGCGACATCTGGTGAGCCATTATAGCCCTTGATTACGATTACACGTGACTGCGCGGTAGGCGTTGTGTGTGCGTGCTAGTAACGAGTGTGTGTGTGTGTGTCGGCGTAGGGTCGTCACGTGGCAGCTCTGTGTCGCTGGGCACGCGGCGCGTGGTGCGGTTCGGCGACAGCTGCCAGGCGGTGTGTGTGCGTGTTAGTAACGAGTGTGTGTGTGTTGGCGTAGGGTCGTCGCGCGGCAGCTCTGTGTCGCTGGGCGCGCGGCGCGTGGTGCGGTTCGGCGACAGCTGCCAGGCGGTGTGTGTGCGTGTTAGTAACGAGTGTGTGTGTGTTGGCGTAGGGTCGTCGCGCGGCAGCTCTGTGTCGCTGGGCGCGCGGCGCGTGGTGCGGTTCGGCGACAGCTGGCAGGCGGTGTGTGTGCGTGCTAGTAACGAGTGTGTGTGTGTCGGCGTAGGGTCGTCGCGCGGCAGCTCTGTGTCGCTGGGCGCGCGGCGCGTGGTGCGGTTCGGCGACAGCTGGCAGGCGGTGTGTGTGCGTGCTAGTAACGAGTGTGTGTGTGTGTCGGCGTAGGGTCGTCGCGCGGCAGCTCTGTGTCGCTGGGCGCGCGGCGCGTGGTGCGGTTCGGCGACAGCTGGCAGGCGGTGTGTGTGCGTGCTAGTAACGAGTGTGTGTGTGTCGGCGTAGGGTCGTCGCGCGGCAGCTCTGTGTCGCTGGGCGCGCGGCGCGTGGTGCGGTTCGGCGACAGCTGCCAGGCGGTGTGTGTGCGTGCTAGTAACGAGTGTGTGTGTGTGTCGGCGTAGGGTCGTCGCGCGGCAGCTCTGTGTCGCTGGGCGCGCGGCGCGTGGTGCGGTTCGGCGACAGCTGGCAGGCGGTGTGTGTGCGTGCTAGTAACGAGTGTGTGTGTGTGTCGGCGTAGGGTCGTCGCGCGGCAGCTCTGTGTCGCTGGGCGCGCGGCGCGTGGTGCGGTTCGGCGACAGCTGCCAGGCGGTGTGTGTGCGTGCTAGTAACGAGTGTGTGTGTGTGTCGGCGTAGGGTCGTCGCGCGGCAGCTCTGTGTCGCTGGGCACGCGGCGCGTGGTGCGGTTCGGCGACAGCTGGCAGGCGGTGTGTGTGCGTGCTAGTAACGAGTGTGTGTGTGTGTCGGCGTAGGGTCGTCGCGCGGCAGCTCTGTGTCGCTGGGCGCGCGGCGCGTGGTGCGGTTCGGCGACAGCTGGCAGGCGGTGTGTGTGCGTGCTAGTAACGAGTGTGTGTGTGTCGGCGTAGGGTCGTCGCGCGGCAGCTCTGTGTCGCTGGGCGCGCGGCGCGTGGTGCGGTTCGGCGACAGCTGCCAGGCGGTGTGTGTGCGTGCTAGTAACGAGTGTGTGTGTGTCGGCGTAGGGTCGTCGCGCGGCAGCTCTGTGTCGCTGGGCGCGCGGCGCGTGGTGCGGTTCGGCGACAGCTGGCAGGCGGTGTGTGTGCGTGCTAGTAACGAGTGTGTGTGTGTCGGCGTAGGGTCGTCGCGCGGCAGCTCTGTGTCGCTGGGCGCGCGGCGCGTGGTGCGGTTCGGCGACAGCTGGCAGGCGGTGTGTGTGCGTGCTAGTAACGAGTGTGTGTGTGTCGGCGTAGGGTCGTCGCGCGGCAGCTCTGTGTCGCTGGGCGCGCGGCGCGTGGTGCGGTTCGGCGACAGCTGCCAGGCGGTGTGTGTGCGTGCTAGTAACGAGTGTGTGTGTGTCGGCGTAGGGTCGTCGCGCGGCAGCTCTGTGTCGCTGGGCGCGCGGCGCGTGGTGCGGTTCGGCGACAGCTGGCAGGCGGTGTGTGTGCGTGCTAGTAACGAGTGTGTGTGTGTGTCGGCGTAGGGTCGTCGCGCGGCAGCTCTGTGTCGCTGGGCGCGCGGCGCGTGGTGCGGTTCGGCGACAGCTGGCAGGCGGTGTGTGTGCGTGCTAGTAACGAGTGTGTGTGTGTGTCGGCGTAGGGTCGTCGCGCGGCAGCTCTGTGTCGCTGGGCGCGCGGCGCGTGGTGCGGTTCGGCGACAGCTGGCAGGCGGTGTGTGTGCGTGCTAGTAACGAGTGTGTGTGTGTCGGCGTAGGGTCGTCGCGCGGCAGCTCTGTGTCGCTGGGCGCGCGGCGCGTGGTGCGGTTCGGCGACAGCTGGCAGGCGGTGTGTGTGCGTGCTAGTAACGAGTGTGTGTGTGTGTCGGCGTAGGGTCGTCGCGCGGCAGCTCTGTGTCGCTGGGCGCGCGGCGCGTGGTGCGGTTCGGCGACAGCTGGCAGGCGGTGTGTGTGCGTGCTAGTAACGAGTGTGTGTGTGTCGGCGTAGGGTCGTCGCGCGGCAGCTCTGTGTCGCTGGGCGCGCGGCGCGTGGTGCGGTTCGGCGACAGCTGGCAGGCGGTGTGTGTGCGTGCTAGTAACGAGTGTGTGTGTGTCGGCGTAGGGTCGTCGCGCGGCAGCTCTGTGTCGCTGGGCGCGCGGCGCGTGGTGCGGTTCGGCGACAGCTGGCAGGCGGTGTGTGTGCGTGCTAGTAACGAGTGTGTGTGTGTGTCGGCGTAGGGTCGTCGCGCGGCAGCTCTGTGTCGCTGGGCGCGCGGCGCGTGGTGCGGTTCGGCGACAGCTGGCAGGCGGTGTGTGTGCGTGCTAGTAACGAGTGTGTGTGTGTGTCGGCGTAGGGTCGTCGCGCGGCAGCTCTGTGTCGCTGGGCGCGCGGCGCGTGGTGCGGTTCGGCGACAGCTGGCAGGCGGTGTGTGTGCGTGCTAGTAACGAGTGTGTGTGTGTCGGCGTAGGGTCGTCGCGCGGCAGCTCTGTGTCGCTGGGCGCGCGGCGCGTGGTGCGGTTCGGCGACAGCTGCCAGGCGGTGTGTGTGCGTGCTAGTAACGAGTGTGTGTGTGTGTCGGCGTAGGGTCGTCGCGCGGCAGCTCTGTGTCGCTGGGCGCGCGGCGCGTGGTGCGGTTCGGCGACAGCTGGCAGGCGGTGTGTGTGCGTGCTAGTAACGAGTGTGTGTGTGTCGGCGTAGGGTCGTCGCGCGGCAGCTCTGTGTCGCTGGGCGCGCGGCGCGTGGTGCGGTTCGGCGACAGCTGGCAGGCGGTGTGTGTGCGTGCTAGTAACGAGTGTGTGTGTGTCGGCGTAGGGTCGTCGCGCGGCAGCTCTGTGTCGCTGGGCGCGCGGCGCGTGGTGCGGTTCGGCGACAGCTGCCAGGCGGTGTGTGTGCGTGCTAGTAACGAGTGTGTGTGTGTGTCGGCGTAGGGTCGTCGCGCGGCAGCTCTGTGTCGCTGGGCGCGCGGCGCGTGGTGCGGTTCGGCGACAGCTGGCAGGCGGTGTGTGTGCGTGCTAGTAACGAGTGTGTGTGTGTCGGCGTAGGGTCGTCGCGCGGCAGCTCTGTGTCGCTGGGCGCGCGGCGCGTGGTGCGGTTCGGCGACAGCTGGCAGGCGGTGTGTGTGCGTGCTAGTAACGAGTGTGTGTGTGTGTCGGCGTAGGGTCGTCGCGCGGCAGCTCTGTGTCGCTGGGCGCGCGGCGCGTGGTGCGGTTCGGCGACAGCTGGCAGGCGGTGTGTGTGCGTGCTAGTAACGAGTGTGTGTGTGTCGGCGTAGGGTCGTCGCGCGGCAGCTCTGTGTCGCTGGGCGCGCGGCGCGTGGTGCGGTTCGGCGACAGCTGCCAGGCGGTGTGTGTGCGTGCTAGTAACGAGTGTGTGTGTGTTGGCGTAGGGTCGTCGCGCGGCAGCTCTGTGTCGCTGGGCGCGCGGCGCGTGGTGCGGTTCGGCGACAGCTGGCAGGCGGTGTGTGTGCGTGCTAGTAACGAGTGTGTGTGTGTCGGCGTAGGGTCGTCGCGCGGCAGCTCTGTGTCGCTGGGCGCGCGGCGCGTGGTGCGGTTCGGCGACAGCTGCCAGGCGGTGTGTGTGCGTGCTAGTAACGAGTGTGTGTGTGTGTCGGCGTAGGGTAGTCGCGCGGCAGCTCTGTGTCGCTGGGCGCGCGGCGCGTGGTGCGGTTCGGCGACAGCTGCCAGGCGGTGTGTGTGCGTGCTAGTAACGAGTGTGTGTGTGTGTCGGCGTAGGGTCGTCGCGCGGCAGCTCTGTGTCGCTGGGCGCGCGGCGCGTGGTGCGGTTCGGCGACAGCTGGCAGGCGGTGTGTGTGCGTGCTAGTAACGAGTGTGTGTGTGTGTCGGCGTAGGGTCGTCGCGCGGCAGCTCTGTGTCGCTGGGCGCGCGGCGCGTGGTGCGGTTCGGCGACAGCTGGCAGGCGGTGTGTGTGCGTGCTAGTAACGAGTGTGTGTGTGTCGGCGTAGGGTCGTCGCGCGGCAGCTCTGTGTCGCTGGGCGCGCGGCGCGTGGTGCGGTTCGGCGACAGCTGGCAGGCGGTGTGTGTGCGTGCTAGTAACGAGTGTGTGTGTGTCGGCGTAGGGTCGTCGCGCGGCAGCTCTGTGTCGCTGGGCGCGCGGCGCGTGGTGCGGTTCGGCGACAGCTGGCAGGCGGTGTGTGTGCGTGCTAGTAACGAGTGTGTGTGTGTCGGCGTAGGGTCGTCGCGCGGCAGCTCTGTGTCGCTGGGCGCGCGGCGCGTGGTGCGGTTCGGCGACAGCTGGCAGGCGGTGTGTGTGCGTGCTAGTAACGAGTGTGTGTGTGTCGGCGTAGGGTCGTCGCGCGGCAGCTCTGTGTCGCTGGGCGCGCGGCGCGTGGTGCGGTTCGGCGACAGCTGGCAGGCGGTGTGTGTGCGTGCTAGTAACGAGTGTGTGTGTGTCGGCGTAGGGTCGTCGCGCGGCAGCTCTGTGTCGCTGGGCGCGCGGCGCGTGGTGCGGTTCGGCGACAGCTGCCAGGCGGTGGCGCGCGCGCTGTGTGCGCCGGCGCGCTTGTACTACAAGGCGGACGACAAGATGCGCATCCACCGCCCTACCGCCCGTCGCCGGCCGCCGCCCGCGTCTGACTACTTCTTCAACTACTTCACGCTCGGCCTGGTCAGTATTTTTTTTGTATTGATATAGTATTGATAAAGGTGCCAAATGCACATACATTCCACCTGATTGTAAATGAATGCTGTAGCCTATAACCATCTTCATTTATCCTCGATTGTTCATCAAAATGCAGATGCGTTATTACCCCTGAGGACTAAGATGGTATGCCTCGTTTTCAGTAAAAATTATCTCCGGTTCTCTACACGCACCATACGAAACACAGCAGCATTAAGCTGGTATTCTGTGATAGCGTGATCTCGGTCGTGCCAGCGCATTCGTGCTACAACCATAATATAGCTTGTCTATACCACGTAAAATACATACACTTTCGTTTTTCTTAAATTATATATTTCATACAAAAGAAATAAAACAATTTCAGCCTCGGTCTGGTCACTACCTACTACTTCACCCTCTGCCAGGTCAATACCTACCATTTCACCCACGACCAGGTCTATACCTACTACTTCACCCTCGACCAGGTCAATACTTACCACTTCATCCTCGACCAGGTCAATACCTACGACTTCACCCTCGGCTAGGTCAGTTCCTACTACTTCACCCTCGGCCTGATCAGTACCTACTACTTTACCCTCGGCGAGGTCAGCACCTACTATTTAATCCTCGGCCAGGTCGGTGCCTACTACTTAACCCACGGCCAGTTCATTACCTACAGTTTCTCTCTATTCTTAAGTTACATATTTCATAATAAACGAAATAAAATTACTTCACCCTCAGTCGATCAGTACCTACTACTTCACCCTCGGTCAGGTCAGTACCTACTACTTCACCCTCGACCAGGTCATTACCTAATAGTTCACCCACGGCCTGGTCAGTACCTACTACTTCACCCTCGGCCAGCTCATTACCTACACTTTCTCGCTATTCTAAAGTTATATGTTTCATAATAAACAAAATAAAACTTCTCCACCCACAGCCTGATCAGTACCTACTACTTCACCCTCGGCCAGGTCAGTACCTACTACTTCACCATCGGCCAGTTCATTACCTACACTTTCTCGCTTTTCTAAAGTTACATGTTTCATAATAAACGAAATAAAACTACTTCACCCTCAGCCTGACCAGTACCTACTACTTCACCCTCTGCCAGGTCAGTACCTACTTTTTCATCCTCGGCCAGGTCATTACCTACACTTTCTTGCTTTTATAAAGTTAAATGTTTCATAATAAACTCAATAAAATAACTTTGCCCTCGACCAGGTCATTACCTACACTTTCTCGCTTTTCTAAAATTACATATTTCATAATAAACGAAATAAAATTACTTCACCCTCAGTCGATCAGTACCTACTACTTCACCCTCGGCCTGGTCAGTACCTACTACTTCACCCTCGCCCAGCTCATTACCTACACTTTATCGCTATTCTAAAGTTATATGTTTCATAATAAACGAAATAAAACTACTCCACCCTCAGCCTGATCAGTACCTACTACTTCACCCTCGGTCAAATCAGTACCTACTACTTCACCCTCGGCGAAGTCAGCACCTACTATTAAATCCTCGGCCCGGTGCGTGCCTACTACTTCACCCACGGCCAGTTCATTACCTACATTTTCTCTCTATTATATATAAGTTACATATTTCATAATAAACGAAATAAAATTACTTCACCCTCAGTCGATTAGTACCTACTATGTACTTCACCCTCGGTCAGGTCACTACCTACTACTTCACCCTCGACCAGGTCATTACCCAATTGTTCACCCTCGGCCTGGTCAGTACCTACTACTTCACCCTCGGCCAGCTCATTACCTACACTTTCTCGCTATTCTAAAGTTATATGTTTTATAATAAACGAAATAAAACTACTCCACCCTCAGCCTGATCAGTACTTACTACTTCACCCTCGGCCAGGTCAGTACCTACTACTTCACCATCGGCCAGTTCATTACCTACACTTTCTCGCTTTTCTAAAGTTACATGTTTCATAATAAACGAAATAAAACTACTTCACTCCCAGCCTGACCAGTACCTACTACTTCACCCTCTGCCAGGTCATTACCTACACTTTCGCTTTTCGAACGATATAAAGACATTTTTTTATTATTGTTCTATTTTTTTACCGTTTACTACGTGATAGGAGCCCATGTAGGTAGGTACTACCCTCTTAACTATTTCTACCGGCATAAAGTGATCCGCTGTAAAGAGTAAAGAGATCGAGTAAATTACAGACTGTGAGGCATTCCATCTTATCTCTCCGAGGTAACGAAGCATCCGTAGCAATTTTTCGTGTTTGAAGTTAGTTGTTTACTGTAAGCTCGTTTGTCACTTCTGTTTTATAAGAAAAGTAAAACATTATACACAAAAAGCAACAGTTTGAAACTACTGGAAAACGTAATGGATATGATAGTGACATAAGGAAAATCCAGTACGCCATTTCATCCCGTGGGTATCGTTAGATGTTACTATGAGAAGGGCCAAAAAGACTTCACGTTTTTGAAACGTGTATAATATAAATGTTTTAAAAACGTAATATTAAAATATATATCGATGAATAATCAATTGCATGATTTAGCTGTGAATAACACGGTGTTTCAAAAGAGTTCAGGGCTAAGCGCTCGCTGTAAATTTCGCAGTACGTGATCAACACGTGTTTAATTCCCACCGGCACCAAGGAAATTGCGAAAATTGATAATTAAGTCCTGACTTACCGTGTTTGGCGGCGGCAGAAGTGAGAGGGGGCCTGTGCCCAGCAGTGTAACGTGTATAGGCTGTAACTTTAACACTATGTCTTTAAACACATGTCTCGTACTCATGTGTACGAGATAGCAGTACATCTATGCATTTGACGTCGCTGGGTTCGAGATATTATGTTTCCGTCAGAGTTTTTTTCCTAATCAGTGGGAAAGTTTAAAAGACTTATAAATATAACAAAACTAGCAAGCAGACTTAGTTTGCAGCATCTGCTGTTAAAAAGATTAGATATCTTACCAGTGTTGAAACAGCTGGACTAGTATACATAGCTATTTCCATAGTATAATGTCGTATGGTATTTTACAATGGGGACACGCGACTGACACTGAACTGCGACAAAAATTTAAGCAAATTAATGTATTAACTTTGGCCTCTCAATACATTTTTGTAAATTTAATGTACGTACACAAAAATAAATGTGGTTTTATAAAAATAAGTGATATTCATTCTGTAAATACTAGGAACAGACACAAGCTAGTAGTACCAGTTACTCGACTCCACCGAGTCAGTAATTCATTCTTGGGGCGATGTATACGCTTTTACAACAAAATTCCAGAAATATACAAAATTTGACCTGATAAAAGTTCAAAAACTTTATTAACCTAAGTTTGTATAAAAAGGGTTATTATAATATTAAGGAATTTATGGATGATAATAACCCCTGGAAATGAGGTGATCGCTACCAAGCTATTTCTAATTTGTTTTATGTTTTGTTTTTTTTGTTTTTTTTTGTTTTTGTAGTATAGAGTGACAAACGAGCACACAGTCCACCTGATGGTAAGTGGTTGCTGTAGCCCATAGACATCTACATCTATCCTCAATAATGACTCAAGATGCAGATGCGTTGTCACCCGTGAGGACTAAGATGGAATGCCTCTTTGCCAGTAAAAAGGGTCTCCGGTTCTCTACACTTACCATACGAAACACAGCAGCGTTAAGCTGCTATTTTACGCTGGTTTTCTGTGAGAGCGTGGTCCTTCCCCGGGCGAGCCGACCCATTCGTACTACAACTATACTTCTAATATAGCTATGTTATGTTATGTTGTTAATTGTGTAACATATGATTATAAGCTGTTATTTTTTTTAAGTCCCGCTGGGTTTCTTGCTGGTTCTTCCCAGGACAGAGGTTTTTTTTTGAACCAGTGGTAATTATACAAAAGAGTTACTTTCAATTAGTATTATTAATAATTTATATTGAATAAAAAAATTCTGCTTCTGTTATCTATATGGAATAAAAATGATTATATTCTATTCTAGTCTATTGTTTATTTAGGACGTATTGTTCGACGCGCGCACCCACCGTGTGAAGAAGTTCGTGCTGCACACCAACTACCCGGGCCACTACAACTTCAACATGTACCACCGTTGCGAGTTCGAGCTCACCGTGCAGCCCGATAAGTGAGTATACTATCTACACCACTATATTTCTTCTTCATTAGCTATAACTTTATTTATTTAAACTTTATTGAACCTCACGTCAGTATATAATAAAAAGGTGGACTTCATACTAAAAACATTATCTGCCCTTTAACGTTAGGGCGGTTCAAATAGCTAAATAACAATACTAGTTCACTATTAAGCATGGGGTTCATGTATAGTAGAAAGGATTTTACGTTTTTAGCAAATGCTGCCGCCTGGCAAATGCTTCTCGGTTATGGGATTTCATATCTGGCATTACTAAATGGTATGGCTTCTTTTTTGCCGAGGAGTCAGTCTGGGTAGATACCATTCCTATTTCTAATGCAGCTTGCACTGCAGTGTTGCGATATGGAAAATAAAGAGAGCTAGTTTAATTAGAGGCTGTGAGATATTCCATCTTAGTCCTCAGAGGTACCTTGGACTCAGACGTACCTGTAGCCTACTTTGTTTGAAGTTGGCTGCGGCTGTCCATGGACTTCAGTAGCCACTTAGCATCAGGTGAACCGTTGGTTCGCCTGCCACTTAGGTTTTATAAAATATACAATAGACAATTTCCTCTGTGGACTTCAACGATAAGTCCACTGGTAAACATAGGCCTAACCTCATAGATTAGGTACCTCATAAGGGGATATTTATCATATTTGCCACGCTTGGCAAGCGGGTTGGCAACCGCAGATTTTTGTTTAGTCGTTATTAAGAAGCCCATCTCCTGATTTGTTTCCCTCTGTCGCCACTTACGATACCCACGGAATAACATGGGATAGTGGATATTCTTAAACTGCCACTACATGGTGTTTCCACTGAAATCAAATTTTAAACACCGTACTTTAACAATCTTAAAGGATAAAACAGTAATTAAAAATAACCCGAATGCATAAATAAGTTTACTGAAAAGAGAAAAATTTTATACGTGGTAGAGCCATGTTGCAGCTACTCGTATATTAGTAGTATAGTTGTAGCATGTATGGGTCGGCTCGACTGGGGAAGGACCACGCTCTCACAGAATACCAGCGTAAAATAGCAGCTTAACACTGCTGTGTTTCGTGTGGTGAGTGTAGAGAACCGAAGACTCATTTTACTGGAAAAGAGGCATTCCATCTTAGTCCTCACGGGTGACAACACATCTGCATTTTGATTCTTAGTTGAGGATAAATGTAGATGTGTATAAGCCGCAGCAACCACTTACCATCAGGTGGACTGTGTGCTCGTTTGTCATCCTATCCTATAAAAAAAAAATCACTCACAATTAAGACGAATCTAACGACAGCCCGTATGTTTAAATCCGTCCAGCCCTTTAGGCTACAGAGCGTGCCAAAGAAATAGACATATATATAGTATATACTCACGAAAAACATTGCCCTCCTTCTGGGGTAGTCGGGTAAAAATAGGAGGATATTCTTAATCTATTTCTTTGTATGTACGTAATGCAATATGTCCGACATAGTTAACCAATTTGCTGATGATTTTTGTTTCGATTCGCATTATGAGACTTAATATTTTTTTTCTTTATCTGTATAATAATCCTAATCTCGATTCGACAACAATGCTACAATAATTACAGATGTGAGTCAAACGCACTAGTAGAAAGCCGCGGCGCCGTCACCATAACAGCGTACAGCAAATGGGAGACGGTCTCACGGGCGTTACGTGTTTGCGAGCGGCCTGTAGTGCTTAATCGTGCCTCCTCTACAAACACCACCAACCCATTCGGCTCAACATTCTGCTACGGCTACCAGGACATGATATTTGAGGTGAGGGCAACAACCTTAAAAATCTTTATTCTTTGGTCCTTCGGGCAGGATATTTTTACGCCATCTCAGAAATGAGATTAACAAACTTCAGAACTATATAAAAGATATTACAGTTAAGTTGCTAAACTCCGCGTAAATAATAAAAATGATGTCTTTTACTCAGATTCAAGAACCTCCCTCTCTGCCTCAATTTCGTGCGCTACCACCGTCACTACTAATCCTTCTTGACTCAAACTAACTATATTCGAAACTCAAACGTGGTTCAGTGTTAGGAGCTGCTTGGTTGAAGGGTAAATGTTCAATCGCCAAAAACAGGTCTGTAGAATTCGCAAACCAAGCGGGTAGGTCAGGTTAGTAGAGATGGTCAACAGACAGACAGTCGGTACCCGAGTTTATTCAAAAAGGTAAACTTAACTAGAAATGAAGCAGGAAATGTTCCGTGGTCTAACAACATAATCGTTGCCTACAAAGGTGGCGTATAAATATACATTTTTTAGTGTTGTAACACGAATTGTTCGGCCTGACCGGGCATGGACCACGCTCTCACAGAATACCAGCGTAAAATAGCCTATTGCTGTTGTATTTCGTATAGCGAGTGTAGAGAACCTAACAGCTTTTTTACTGGATACGAGGCGTTCTATCTTAGTCCTTAGGGGTGACAACGTATTGTATTTTGATTCGTAATCGAGGGTAGATGTAGATGTCCTATGGGCTACAGCATCCACTTACTATTAGGCGGACTTTGTGCTCGTTTGTTACCCTTATCTTATAAAAAAAAAATCAAGTCACTGAAACGAATCTGTGAATTTAATGAGTTTTATAAGAGTAAACGAAGTTGTTGCTGCCATTGCGCATTGAGGTCAGTGTCCCGTGAAAACGGTACTGCTCGGTGGCTGCCGCTAAGAACGAGGAGGATCGACACAATCCGATAGTTTGTGTTTTTGCACAGGATCCGCGTCATAGTACCCAGAGTACACGCTATTAATGATGATGGTCGTAGTCAATGTAGGTATAGGAATATCGACAAGACTGTTTTAACTGTCATTTTGTTGTATCCCCTACGATGCACTGTACTAACTACTTTATGCCGTATATTTTTTTTTTACTTCAATCATATGTAATGCTTGTAATTATACTTTAGGTGATGTCGAACAACTACATAGCGTCGATAACTCTGTACCAGCCAGAAGGCACCCGACCACAATATGCGGTTAATTCAATCGCGTGACAAAGCCAGGTAACTAAAAATTACACACATACATAAACAATCACGCCTGTCACCCAGAGGGGTAGACAGAGACTACGGACTTCCATTTGGCATGATCCTGACCTCTATCGCCTCCTCCACATCCATATAATTATGCATACACGCTCGTCGGTTAACGATACTCTTAACTTGGCCCATTTCCAATATATCGCCAATTTGGTCGATAAACTTTCGCCTAGGGCGTCCTTTCCCGACTCTGCCGTTCTCACTTCTGCAACATAAATTTGCTTTGTCACTCTTGCCTCATTCATTATTTCTACATGACCAAACCACCGAAGCATTATTTTCTTAATCCTGGTCACAACATCAACTTGCACACCACACTAAAAAAAAAATTGTAACATACGAACTTACGAAAATAAAATAACGTGGAAAAATTAAATAACTTTCACCTTTCTCCGAACAGGTTTCGCCAAGCAAAGGGAAGTACACGTCTTGAACGCTGAATTAAGTGAATTGTCAGTCTCAATACAAACAAATCTCCACTAGTGTGGCAACACCTACTCGGCAACAAAAAAACTTGTCACACATTAAATTCAATTCTGGCAATGAGACTTTCTACATATCTTTCAAACACCTAAGAGGAAACAGTATTGAAAAAAAATGTGATAAAACTATTAAAAAAAAAAGTGGTAAAAAATTACGTAAGTGAGTGACAGATCTCAAGATGATGTGTATAAATAAGTTATATTTAATTTCTTAGCGATAGACGAATTAAAAAAAAAGATTTTTTTATTTAAAATATCCTAAGTTAAGCTGAAATGTTTTTTGATTATCAGAAGAGTGGGAATGATCTTAGTAATGATAATTAGTCAAATGTGTTCTCTTAAGTGTTACAGCTGTAATCTAAAAAGAAAACTTTACACTGATATAATAATAATCATGGTAAATAGAAATAGAGACTGCGATGTAAATATTTTTAAAAGTTCGGAGAAAATTATGGTATCATAAATTGATGTATTTTTTCTAAAATCATTTTCGAATTGAGAGAAGAGTTTGTGATTATTGTGAATAAATAAAAAAAAAATGTGCAAAAAATATTTTCTCTTATAGGAAGCACCACAATAATGTCATGAATGTTTTTTTTATTTGTATTGTTTAAGTGTAGTCTGTTTGATAAATTAAGGGCTTCATAGACAAAAATTTTAATCACATAAATAAAAATAATTGCTGCTGTTGATATTACGGTACTATGCATAAATGTAAAAGATTTACAGCGATATACAATATTTAGTATACATTTAAAGCCTAAAACTACATATCATTTATCTATGGGGCGTTTAATTTGATCAGTGTCGAACAGTGACGTTATTATTTATTCAAACGTCGTCGTTGTATACAATTTGTTTTTTGCTATTGTGATTTTTCTTATTTTTCGATTTTACACCTTTTTATCACAAAATCGAAAAGTTAAATCGATCCTACGACCTTTTAGTTTCGAAAGAAAGGAATGATCTACTTATTTATTTTTATATTTCTAATAAAAATCACAGTGTGCGCTTGATTTTGAAATACGTAGAATAGATAAGGATCATATAAGAATATAAAAGCTTTGAAGTGCTTGGATTTTAAAGTATTTTAAAATATGGGCGAGTGTGGACGAACGAATGTATTTGTGTGCTATTTTGTGTATTTTACTCGGTAGATGTGATCATGACAGTAATATGTTATGTGATAAATGATAGATAATTGTCACAAATATTCAAACTCAGGTCGTCGACATTTTTTTTATTTTTTTTTTGTAATGACTTGCAATTCTAAATAAATAAATAACATTTTTTCCATTGTATATAAAAATTACGGTATTTACATTTGTGTTTTGTTTTATTATAAACTTTTTTAGTGTCCTAGTTTGTATTCTTATTCGATAATTTACATATTTACACTGACATGTTTACATTGTAATGAAAAATGTCGACCATCTTAGCTTTTTTATATTTTTTTCTTAACTATAATGTGTGCATTGTAGTGTTATATTCTAAAATATTCTAATAATGTTATTATAAATAATCAAGCGAGATTGTTCTTATTGTATATATTTATTGTACATATAAGTATATTATGTATATCGGGACTATTTGAAGCAACCATAAATCTAGTTCAATTTTTAAACGTTTATCATTTATAATGCTATAATGCACAATTAAAGTTAACCTATCATATATTATAATAAACAAAGTCAAATAATTTTAATTTTTACTATGTAAACTCATGCTTAGCTATAATAGTGCCAATATTTTTATGCAAAATTGGACTCTGAGACTATGTAACATAAAGTCAAAATTTCAATAACATATGAGCTTAAAAAGTAGGCTACATAACGAAGAGGGGATGGTTGTGATGTATGTTAAACAATTATTCTGCTGTCATGATAAAAACACTTTCAATTTTTGAGCTCTGCTGTTGCATCTAGCATACGTTAAATATTTTCGAGACAAGTACCGACATCATCCGAATACGAAGAAATTTATAAAATTATAAAATAACAACAGTTAAACTTATAGTATCAGGTATTTTCATTTAATTTTATACAAAAACAACATTTTTATATGAGAGGAGGCAAACGAGCACGCGTGTCAACTGCCATCGATTTGATGATGATAAAAAATAGTTTGTCTGTTTTGACTCCGAATTTGTAAAAATCTATAATGGTACTTAAGCTGACCTTAAGTGACAAAAATATTGTATTTTGGACAAGATTTCGACTTCTTCAAATAAATATGCGCTACATGAAATACTTAATAAATTCTTAACCTATTGGATTTTGGTACGAAGTTCCTCATCGGACGGTACGAATTTGGCGGATGGGGGCTAGGCGACAAAAACTAAGATTTTTTCGTCACGATCCCTTCTGACGTAGTTTAGACGGCCTTGACGGCTATAAGGAAGCGAGATGGAATAATATCCATCTCCCTCGCACTTTTTCTTATCTTGCCATGAAAGAAATATATATATATATATATATATATATATATATATATATATATATATATATATATATATATATATATATATATATATATATATTATTAAATATTATTAAATATATTTTATTTTAAATGACGCTTCATTTTAATAGACGGTAGTAATTCATTTATTCGTATTTGTTAATCAGTAATATACGTTTGTACGTTTATCAATTATAATATACTACGAAAGGAACTTCGTTCCAACCGAGTGTTAGAACACGACACTCACGCATGTTTTTTTTTTAAAAGACTATAAGTCGAGATAAAATAATTATAATTTAATCGCCTGGAAAAAATTCTTTAGCGGCTACATTTTTATTTGGATTCTATGTGTTTTGATAATAAGCAATAACGTTTCAAATATGCATGCAGTGATGAAAAGAGTGTTAAAAGACTCTTAACGTAGGAAATACCCGCCTTAAACCATCTAGCTGGTTCAAGGTTTACGCAGACTTTTGTTGTACAAAAGTATATTTGATTACTACTACACGTGTCCAAAACACGAAAAGATTGTCCCGATTTGTTGTATTAATAATATAAAATTAATTTTACCCTTTTACTACCGAATATTTTAGGAAATATTATTGTAATGAGATCGTTAAGGCTTAATACAAAATTAAAAATAGAAGAGGTCTTTTCTGTTCTCGTATAGATAATTATTACACATAAAACAATAAACGTTTAGTTACTCTTAGAGAGCAAAAACCTCGGGCCTACAAATAATTGTTTCCGGTCTGGATGTTTGTCCTAGGGCAATTATTGTATGTAAAACGCGTCCAGAATACAGGTGAAAAGTCTAGGTGGTACTTTTTAAAGATCAAAAACTTTTTGAGGTATAGCTAATAAAATCACCAAGAGTTTTCTACGCTAGCGTAATTTGACAGACCTTATGTCTATGAAATATTTTTATATATAACTAGCGATCCGCCCCGGCTTCGCACGTGTGATTTCTGGATCTCGGTAACAACGCCATCTACCGGATTCAAATGTGAATCTAAACCATCTAGGGACTTATTCAAACACACACAAAAAATATCATCAAAATCGCTCGAGCCGTGTTTGATTTATATATACAGGGTAATTTTTAATTTACAGAAGATAATCAATCTTTTTGCTTTTATAAACGAGTGCTTGTCTTTAAAATATTTAGCGTGTTCAAAAAGATAAATTATTGCACAATATGTCACGAGTGTGATTGTCATTAGGAATGATGGCTGTGGTGCCATACAACAAAAAAAAAATAAAAAAAATGACAAATAATAAAATAAAAAAGTATTAATTAAGATAGCGTACGCTGCGTCTTCGTTATTTGCATGCAAATATTTTATGCATTTGCAATAAAACGTAATATTTAGAAAAAATCAAATATTACGTTTTATTACACATCCCATTTTGTAACAAATTAGTTTCTAATTCGTTCATAAAAGAAAGAAGACAAAACGAATTATAGTAATCTAGAATGCGATACATTTTTAATGATCACACCGCGAGGTACATATTACCTTTCAAATTGGAGATAGGGAAGAAATATTTGAGATTTGCAAAATTGTTGTTAGATTTGTAACATTTTTTCAAGGATCTCGAAATTTTCGAAGAATAGGCAACCGTGTACTTATGGAAGTTATGTAGAAATTTAAGACTTCTTAAAATATTCTAACGACTTTTGCCGGATATTGAATAACCGGATCAAGTGGCTGGGGCCTGGTGTCGAAAATCGGCTGTGACGGTGTACATAGGCATATTGATAATTTATTTAAAAATATTTGCATGCACAATAGCGAGTATTTTTATAAAAATAATTAGCTTACTTTTGTCTCGCTGTGTACTTATATGGTCACAGCTTTATCACTTAATTCATAATGTTGTTTGTATTTTATAATTATGTCAGCCTTAATTAATGTACATTCACAATTAAAAATGCAAGAGATTTCTACTAAATTCCCCCATCTTGAATCAAACATGCCCAACAATGTGCACATAATCAACGTTAAAAGACTAAACTTAAAAACGACGTATAACGTATTTTACGCTCGTAAAATTTATTTTTGTCAATAATTATATCATTTTTAAAAATTTTAATCCTTTACTGAAAATAACCTTGACAGTAAAATCTAATTATACTACCCGCGAAGGTAAAGAATGGGATTATAAATGGCGTCGCATCTATACACCTCTCGCTTGCACACTGCTGATGTCGACGTGTATTGTATGGTGAGTGTGGAGAACCGGAGACCCTTTTTAATGGAAATGAGGCATTTCATCGTAGTCTTCAGGGGTGACAACGCATTTGCATTTTGATTCTTAGTCGATGATAAATGTAGATGTCTATGGGCCACAGTATCCCCATCAGATGGACTATTTGCTTGTTTGTCACCCCATTCTATATAAAAAAGGTACCAAAAATAAATATTGTTTGTTAATTGATTTACTAATATTCAGTTAGTAATTTTTACATAATTCAATTGATTTTCATATACTTATCAGTTTTTTTTTACCAAAATAACGTTTTAATTATTATAATATCGTTATTTGTAATGTAACGATGTAACATAAGCATCGCTTTTGCTTTCCGTACAGTGTATGCCGACAGTACAGGCTTGCCGGCCGCCATTTCTAATCCCATTCCTTATCCGCGTGAGTAGAACTTGAAATTTGAGAACTATAATTTGGATATTTGAAAAGGCTGACATAAATCGTATAATATAACTATAGCTTGTATATTATACGTGTAGTAGCGTTATATTATGCATTTAGCGATACATAACAACCTTTATGATTAGTGAATAAAGGAGACCCACTTTCTAAAGGTACTTTTGATATTTTAAGAATCTAGTAACAATTGTCAGGAAGCATAATAATATGATGTTTTTATTTTATTAGCAAATAGGATTCGACCACACTATGCATGTTCTGAAAGAGTTGCCACATATTATTTTTATTTACTACTAAAGTTTTTTTTTTGTAATAGCCAATGTTTTTTATTTATTGCTATATTGTTGTAAAATTGTTGATAAAACCGATTGTTGTTGTTTATGAGCGAATTCATAGTTGTGTTACGTGTGATTACTGTGATTTGTACTAACTTTGATGTTGCCATACTTAAGATAATAATATATAATTATCTTTATAAAGCTACATGTGGTTACTTTTACGATATGTACTAAGCATCGGACGGTTAGCTAAATATAATTTTAGATAATCTTATGTTCTATCTTGTTATTTTAGATAATATCTTGTATTCTCGGTTTAATGAGTATATTATCTAAGTTTCAAGCCCTCTTCCGTAATTTCAATTTTGTAATAGTCGAAACCTTAGTTATAATTTTTATATTCGACTATTCTACTCAGTTTATATAAGTTTGAAAATATGATGTGAACATGTGTATCTTATTATGGTGTCATTGCTTTAGTTTTGTAATAAAAAGAAAAATTATTAAGTAGTTAGTACAAACCACATTAAAATGGAAGCGTGATTGATAACATTAAAATTATGACAAAAACGTGAAGAATTGGTTGTTTTAAATAAAAGCAATATATTTTTTTATTAAGAGATAACATTTTAAAGGCTACAAATAATATTAATTCTTACTGATAACAAGTGTTATTATCATTAAAATGCGAAATATGAACTCGTTATCACACCATAAAAATTAAAGTAAAAATAAAACTGACTTTTTTATGTTGCTTAGTTCACTTTAGCTGATGTGTCAATAATAAAATCTTAATATTGTTAACTTAAGCACCTTATTCACGGTCCATCTTGCTGTACGTCCTACATGGCCTTGGCGGGACGTACAGCAAGATGGACAATGAATAAGGCGCACTAATCTCCATTATAGCTCACCACTTTCTACCTAATTTTATAATTTTAAGAAACTATGAATGGTGTATACGACATAAATAGATATGGACCTAACATAACTATGATTTGCTTATAGTGTAGATAGTTAAAATAGTCAACAAATTGTAGAAGACGCGCTCGGAAGTAAAATGTAAAGTTACTGTTGTAGGTGATTAGAAACTATTAACTACCGGTCGGCACATGTTTCACCTATGATCGTTGTTACTGTATTTTTCGAAGATGCCAAAATTAACAAAACAAATCATTCTGGTTAAGGATAACGCACATGTTCATTTACCGAATGTTTAGGGTTTCAAATCATCCATAAATAATTATCCAGAATGTAACGTTTCGATTGAAATTAACGTTAAGCTATATTTTTGGGCATTATATACATACCTGCGACTGCAAACAGCGGTTTAGTGCTGTGAACTCAATTACATTTACCAAATATTTTTTTACTACATTGTTTGTAATTTTACGCCGACACTTGCATTAACTTTCCCTTAGAATGTAAAGGAGGATATGTTATGTCAGTACTATAGAAATCGTCCAAAGCCACAAAAAATCCTCCAACATTTGATGTAGATCACTATATCAAACGTTGGGTCCAGTCATCAGATTGGATTGTTTGGCTCAACCTTTTTAATTTTGCGTCATTTGTACGGAAAATCTGTTTGTGGCTCTAAAGAGAGTGTAAGTGGAGTTAATTATGTTAAAACTAATAATGATAAAATTATCTGTTATTAGTTCATAAAAAAATGAAAATGCAGCAGTGCAAGTGTAGGTATAGAATAAGTACGTGTTTGACCGATAATTATGTAATGTTATTTTCAAAATTATTATGTATCTAATTCATTAAAAT